ATCAGGCTACGATGACCTTTATTTAGGCCACATTGATTAAAAAACCAAAGGGGTCATCTGCTAGCCATGCCATATCTCCATTGCAAGATTGTATCGTAAAAATTCTTTATTCTTTATTCGCTTTGACATATTTTACTTCACTATCAATAGAAGATATGTACTTGCCATATGCAAAGACCCTACCAACTAACAAAATCCACGTCTCATTCCTACGGAATTCCATAAACGACAGCCTACTGCTCACTGCCTACTGCTAACTGGACAGCCTGCTGCTCACTGCCTACTGCTAACTGCTTATTGACAGTCTAAGTCTATGTATGGATCAAATAGAAGTATTCCGAATGTACAAACATGTGCACCCGCCATTTAGTTGAAGGGAAAACAATGATAAGTAAATTAAAAAGGATTATTTTATAATTAAGCCTAATAATTTGTAATTTCGAATTCATTTCAATGACTCGGTCATTGCACACTGCATTGATTATGTTATGAAATGGTTCCACGTGCCTCTTGCACAGGTGATTGATAAATTGTCAAATATAGGACTCATTTTAGGGTAAATCAACTTAATAATAACTTATTTACAAAGAATCTGTGTTCAACAATCAACATGGATGGGCTTGAGTCCACCACTATTCCTCGGTTGAGAGGCGGATATCTGGACCATTATGTCAACACTCCCTTATTTTATTTAGAATTTCATAGTTTATTAAACTTTCATTTGACAATGTAATACATTTCTAGAAGAATATCTGTAATATACTGGTGAAATCACTGGTGAAATTTAGGCTAAACAATCTCTCATAATCAAAAATGTGTGAGTTCATTTACGAGATCATTTAGGTTCAGTTTTCATGGGCTGTTAGTTATAGCTTATAAATGTGTAATTCCTTATTAGATGTTATGTATTGCATTTTGGTTAAGTTGATTGCACTCTTGATAGTTTATGTTGCAAAGATATGTGCTTTGAAGGTTAATAATACAATTGTAGAATCAATTTTATTCTAGTACAGAGGATGATAAATCTGCCAGAAACATTTCAATGGAGGAACAGCCTATACTTTCATTGACTTTACAGACAAGTAACCTGTATGAAAATATTGAAATTACAGTGGAAGAGGAAAAGGACTACATAAATGAATTGGGTTTAACTCGGCTTCCTTCTGAAAACATAAACAAAGACAAACTTGGCTGTATTCAAATTGTTTCAAAAACGTTCAATATTTCAATGACATAAAGAGTGCAAACATGGAGTGATAAATTACAGTTTGGACCAGCTTATTTTACTTTTATGAAAAGCCATCGTTATTCTCTTATTTAAATTCAATTGTGCTATTGAAAAACTATGAGAAATAACAGATTCTTAACTATTTAAACTTACTTAAAAATTTCTGATAGGCAAAATGATCATGTTAATGTTACAATATTTTTTGACGTGTTTGTTTAAAATCCATCTTTTATATAATTTTTATAATTATCTTGTTAACAGTGAACTTTTTAGGTTGGTTATTTTTTCTATTTCTTTTTGCAATTACCGCAAGTAAAACCAATGAGCAAATCTGCCTTCGTATTTGCCAGAAAGTCATTACTATTTCTATCAGGGTTCTAGAGGTTTGACAAGTTCAATTGACAAGACAATGGTAAACAGTTCTAAGACATCGTGATAGTGTACAGCTTCTATGACATGAAATGAGGCATTTTTAAGTTACCTTTCTTACAACGTGTATATCACTTTACATTGCAGAGTATATTTACACTAATATAATTTCATAACAACTACATGTATATAATTTATAACAGAACTTTTAATTATAATTCTGCTTTTATATTAATTGCTTTCCCCGAAACTTTACAAATATTTTATATAGATTTTGATTTTTTACAGGCGTGTCATAATTTTTATTTTAAATAACGGTGTATACAAGAAAGTATTAGTTTACAGGTCTCATTATTGGGACAAAACATACTTTTTATGTGGTGTTATAATCAATAAGTGTATTTTGTTTTCGTTTTAATTGTAAATAAAAAAGTTCTTTAAAAATAAAATATCATAATTTTCTTGTATTTTTTTATGTTTAGCTCCCCGAAAAACAAAATTATGACAAAATGAATTGAAAATGGCTATATATATTTTAACCATAAAGCAAAGTTTGTTTGTTGAATGTTGTAACATGACCAATTTGAAAAATCAATATTCAACATTGTCCACATTTAACCCATTACTTCATGAGCATTTTGTGAAAAATGGCTGTTTTCATTGAAAAGTCTCCCTTGACAAGTTCAAATTGCTATAATACTATAAAAACTGCTTCAATACTAATCAAACTTGGCACAAATGTTGACTGGACCACTGCCTTTGTAACAACATGCCCAGGCTTAAATTTCCTTTTACCATGGCAACGAGGGGTCATCTCAAAATTGCCAAAAAACACTATTTTGCGTTGATTTTTCACATCAAAATTGATTTTAAAATGCTGCAACTTCTAAATGGATAGAGATAGAGTCAAATGCTTTTCAGTATTGGTTACACGTTACCTTATTATCAATCTGGGGTCATTTTTAGCCTCTCAAAAGTGCAAAATTTTCTTGTGCCTCCTTCTGGCAACCCCCTGATGTATCTTTTGGTTGGGGCCGCGCCGAAAATGTGGTCACTTTTTTAAACAGCATTTCGCAAACAAAAACAAGTGTTGGAGGCCTAAATAAGGCATTTTTTCACCATTTGAGACAACAAAAAAGGGGGTGAAAAAGGCGTTAAAAGGTGTGTATATCGGGTAATGGGTTAAACAGTGTCTTAGTCCATTAATTTAAATGGATGGGATCGCAAAAAGTATGTATTAGGAAGATGAAGATTACGTTATATCATTAGCTCCATAAGAAATACATCTGAAGCTCCAATATCTGGCAAGTTAACTGAATATATTTCTTCAAAACAGCTTTACAAGTTAACCTAAACACTCTTTTCTTAAGGCAATGAAATAGAAAGACGGCCGTCCAGCAATGTATTGATTAATCTGGTTTTAATCATGTGGTTTTAATGCCTTTATCATAAATTATAAAAATCAGTTTGTAACACAGGCAATACTGCAAAACAAAGAAATAACATACGGAAGGCACTACAGTGACTCAAATTTAGGATACCGCAGTTCATCATATCGATAAACAAATACTAACAACTCTTTGTACATGCGTATTAATAATGCCGAAGTAACTCAAAGATCTTTCAATGTTTTTATTATGCATCGACTTTCCAATTATAACACAATAATTGACATGTTACTCATCATGCTTTTTTAACATCTACTAAAGTAACATTTTCTTGAGTCAAATCTAAGGCTTTGTAGAATTAAGGGATAAATGTACGGTCTACAATCACCAGAACAAGTAGTAACTTTTTTAGATAGAACTAAATGGTTCTATGTATGATTTGGACCATGAAGTGTGTATACTCTCCCGTTTATCAGAATAAACTACCGGTAATCCGAGACGTGACTGGTATATATATTTTTTCTGAAAATCTTTATATCTTTGTTTTTAGAACCATTACCTAGATTTTTTTAACAAAACATTATAGCATTATTTTCAAAATGCGAACTTAAAACTGACCATTGTGATTTAAATGTATAAACAAAGACGTTCATGACATTACAAGGCCTCCGTTTAAAAATACTATTAAGCTTAATAGTTATAGGGTAGGGTCAATATCATTTAATGAACAAATATTATAATATACATGTTATATGGTAGATATATCTAAGCTTGAACAGGGATATACATGTATAAATAATTAAGCAAGCAGTTAAATTTGGTAGCTCAAAATTACCGAACAAGAATTAATGACAGAAAAATATTTTAATATTTGGTTAGTTTAAAATTTCTATAAAGTTCACAGGTCTATGATTTGGAAAAGTTCCAGATGCCTGCAAAGATATATACTTATTTTTCTGCTTAGTAAAACGAGAATTATGCATGTACATGTATAAATGTAACAAGTTCCAAGGTTTCAGTCAAAGTCTTCATAAATGATACTGAGTAATTCCTTGACCAATACTGTTTCAAACGGCCTCATTGTAACATATACACACATTGGAAGAAGGACATAAAAAGTCAACATTTACTTTCAGGCAATTAATCGGGTATAAGACAGGTGTAGCAGTAGGCATTTATCAATTAACAGTAAGCATTAAACAGTCGCTGTAAGCATTAAGCAGTTTAAAGTAAACAGTTGACAGTAGGCAGTTGACAGTAAGCAGTTGATAGTAGGCAGTTGACAGTAAACAGTAGGCTGTCGTTTATGGAATTCTGTACATTCCTTCTAAATTTTGTGATCGGACAAAGAAGAGGTGACGTGCATACAAACGTACGGATCAACCCCATCACAGTACGTGTTCTTTGAAGTGATGATAAACATGGGTAATTGTAGAATTTTTAAGTTTAAAACGGGCGCTTATTCTGACAAAATCCATGTTAGAGGACAATGTGCCTTGGGCAGTAGCCTCCTATTATGCCCTTGAAAAAGGTGTGAAGTTTCAATCTTGTAAAATAGCCACCCCTGTTTTCAAAAAGTTAAGCTATATTCAATAGAGGTATCGTAAACCCATAATATTGGCACTATTGCATTATAAAGACAAAAAAAATGAAAATTTCCGATGAAATTAATGAATCGCTTACCTTGACCTGAGTTTTTAAAGTCAAAGTTTTGATTATTTGTAGCGTACGATATCGAGTTCTTATTTTAAGGACAATTTCTAATAGAGACAATAAAGTTATTTTTTGAACAGCTACATGTTGAAAATCAAATAGGGGCGTGAGGGAAGCTGCACCTAATGTACAGACTCAATTACATCGAGTCTGCAATTTTTGTGTAATTTTGTTGTGATTAATGCTTCCGAGGGAGCACACTGTATCTTTTTTTTCATGAAAATTATCAGCAAATATTTATTTACCTGTTGAAAGTTTTTATGTCACAAATAAATAATAAAATTAAAACCAAATAATTCATTCTTTATCAATAATTTATTCTTTTATATAATTCAGATATCATATAAAATACAAAATACATTTAAACTTAACAGTTATCTGAGACATAAAAATAAATAAACACATTTTTATGTACCAGACTATAATATACGAATTCAAATTTTAAACAGGCAAATTAAAGTTGGCAACAGGAAAAAATATCGAACTAAAAATGTGTGTACATGACAGATGCTGTTTTGTCGGAATATTACAAAATGATTGTATATACGTAGCAGTTATACATCCAAATAATTATGTTTCTGTTTGCTTAAGCAGGGGGTATAACTCTGCCGATCTAAAAAAATATCAGATGCATTAGTTAGATGCTTATATAACTAATTTTGGAAAGTTTTTTGTTCTTGCAGTTGCACACGAAACTTGTCTAAAATTTCTATTTTTAGCTTAATTTTGTATGAGAGGGGTTGGGGTTCAAATGTGCCTAATTAACCAGTTATGTACGTTCACGTGTTGACATATATTTATATGAACTTTCACAGATTTCTAGTTACCATACCACAAATCTTGGCAAATAAATATAGGTTACATGCGACACAAACCGGTCAGCTCACAGACAAAGTGACGGAATGTTGGCTTCATTATTCACCGGATGCATTATCAAGCTATGTTAAAGTGAAAATATGAAAAACTATTTCATTTACATTGTAGTTCATTCAATTAGAGACTTTCATACAAAATGATCGTCACGCTTCTGTTTTATTTCAATTATCTAATACACAGAATAGAAATTATTTGAAACATTAGATACTAGCATAAACACATCGTGCCAGTTTGTTTGTCATAACTACACAGAAATTAGTGTTTTTATCAGAGTACATTTTTTATTATACATTAAACACGTTATGTACAAGAATGTAAAACGTAAAATGTACACGGTCACAATATTCATTTACTCAAATGAAATAAAAGCAGTCGACATTAAGACAAATAAGGAAGTACAATTCAAATTTATGGAAACAGTTATTCTCATTCATATCAGTTATTTTGTTATAATATCAACTATAATAATTATTCATTTATTATAAGGTTATTTAATATTGTTTACTGGCCTCTTTTGAACCAGTACACAGCTCTAAAGTGAATTGGTCTACAATAGATTAGAATATAGAAATGTATCATTTGCATATTCTTATGAAATATTTTTTTGAAAAGATGTTAATAAGATTCTTAGTGATTTAGAATGGACATTCGTAAGGTAAATAATAATTTTTGGTTATACAGCAATTTATCATCTGCTACAAGAGTATATGTAATATCTGATCATATATCTCACTCTTCAACATCCATGAATTCTTTTGTCAACAAATACATTTGACTTTCGAGTTTGAACTATAACAGTTTTTGAAAAAAAGACACAACTACTTAAATTAACAAGGGGAATAATAAGGGGAAGGCTTTCAGGATTATCTTCCCTCCCCTACAAGTGAATTATAAATTGGAAAGTGAACATTTGCATTAAGTCTAAAGTGAATGTCTTTTATATTGTAATTCAAGAACAGAACAGAACAGATACTTTATTAAGATTTGTACATAGTACATCATCTATAATACAATAATGTTTACAAGCATAACGTCAATATAATGGTAATTGCAATCATGACATTTATTTCAAAATTCTTAATCTTAATTTATCTAGTAACAAGAAAATTAAATGATAAATATGTATACTACGAACTAAAAAGATAATGTAAAGTTAACCAAGAATTTCAAAAACGAAAAGGGGGGCATTACTGAGAAAAAAATAATGTAGTTACCTGCCCTTTAGAAATGGATTCCAATTGAAAAATGTATTTATGTAAAATATTATATTTTTGATGTACCTTACAATATATGATGACCCCTTTATATCACACCACCATGCTTTAAACATGTTGACAGAACTTTGTTATTTGATATGGATTTTTTTAATATTCGAAATATGAACGAGGCTAGACATAGTACAATAAGTAATTGATTCGAAGGATACTATTGTCGGTTATGTTTTAAGAATTTGCAAAATAATTTTTACTAGGTTACCTTAAATCCATTCTAAATATATTTAGTGGTTTATTGAATAATATATTGAACTGCTGGATACCATACCAGTATTAGCAAAAATAGCAAAGGTATTTATCTCCTGTAACAATCAATTCATTGTAATGCACAAGTTCAGGAGCATAATTCATTTGATTAATGTTATAACAATTTCAAGTACCAACAACATTTTCAAGTACTTGTCATACATATTATAATAAAATTAAATCAAACAGTTATCAGTAATATACAAACATATATACATATTAACAATGAATACATTCGATAATAAAATTATGAACTTCCTTTTATTTTAACTGAACAATATATATGTTTGCTAAAGTCAGTTTGAGAGCAAAAATCAAATTGAACTCAATCTAATTTAGCCATCATCTTACTGAGTAGACATATCTGAAGGTTAACAATAATAACTAAAATATTGTCAATTGACATAAGGCTATTTTTACAAGCTGCTTTTCTTACCTCCTAAACTTTTAATAACTAAATGTGATTTATGAATTCATACCTAAAATTTGAACTACTGTAAAACAAAATTAATTAAACTGAGTTTATTCAATAATGAGATAGCAATAGTTTTGACAAAATTTGATATTTTGCAATACTGTTTTTATTTAAAGCAATAAACTTTGAAAGATATTCATGTTAAGCCCACACAACTAATAAAAAAATTACAATAAAAAAATATACACACTGAATTTATGATACAACAGGTTAGCTAAAATATACACCCTGAATTTATGATACTAGTACAACAATTTTGCTGAAATATACACGCTGAATTTATGATACAACAATTTTGCTAATATTTACACACTGAATTTATGATACAACAATTTTGCTAAAATTTACACACTGAATTTATGATATAACAATTTTGCTAAAATATATACACTTAATTTATGTTAACAAATTTGCTGAGTTAAGGCTGAAAATATTTGGAAAGATCGATGGATATGATAATATACAGCACTAAATATTGCTGTACTAAATATTGTTTCCCTGAGTGAACAGTCATGAAACATGAACACATTTTAAGTTATATTATATACATAGTATGATGCATGGAAAACTAATTACAAATAATGTATTATATACTTATTCAATGTTAGCTTCATGGATAAGGGAAATGTAATCATGATCACAACAAGGCTTAAATACGAAATAGGTTACATCCCTTCCATCATCAGTACATTAACAAAAGCTAAACTAGTGTAGAAAGACAAGGTGTAAGCGATCGTCAAGCTCAGTCGGCAATGCTGCAAAACGGTATTCTGACTGTACTGGGCTCGACTGTCGACCAGGCTGCACATTTTTTCTCACGGAACAGTTAAAAACATAATATTTATGATAAAACATTTACAATATTCTACTGTATGTCGGAGTAAAAAATTTACAGAAATGATTATGACATAAACTTTCATAAACAGCTTTCATTTACGTTAACATGTGACAATTATGATTTTAAATCAAAACTAAAATTTCCGACCACACAGGTACTTTCATTACTTTCAACATACATTGTTCTTATTAATTTTTGTTGAAGATCAAGATGTGTCATCCAACGAATGCATCAAATTGTATTGTTTGGCATCTACACGATTGTCTTATTATCACAACTGTGTTAAATTGGCCATCATCTGATTATACTAAGTAAAATCATGCTAAAATGTTAATTACACAAACGAATCTATCCAAAGAAAGTATGCTTCGTTAAGGCGAATCCAGTGGGAATTTGACATAAGCGGTCTGTTTGCAATGCTTTCACAAAACATGAACACATTGGTATACAGACATTGTACAGTAAAGGATCATCTGAAATAAAGAAAAAAAAGACATGCTTTACTATATACTTGCAAAGACTTTAAAGTAGCATCGTTTACTTCACATCAATGTATCATTATTACATCGTAACTAAAGAGCATTATTTTATATCTTTGTGATTAACAATGAAATATCTAACTAATGGTTAAAGAATTTCTGACACCAGAACTGGCATATGCGGCATCAAAAATTGTATTTTCACAACGTGCTTTAAATGGCTTTACGAAAGGACATTGTCGAACACGGTAAGATGTCAGAAATTAAGGCGCCACATGTGATGTCATTTGGGAACAAGCAGTCAGACCACTGTTGCGTATGACACATTGAAGCATTGTACTAAGGGCCTTACCGAAACACCAATTGTGATTTGTTTTTCATTTGCTTCTGATTTACGGAAATTATTATTTTAATTAATGATTTTTGAAAAAAAAACAGCAACAACCCTGTTTTTCTACACTTAGCACAACGACAAGAATAACAGTTCAAAATTGTCAACTTTTCATACTCAAGGTATGCAAAACAAACGTGATGAAAATTATGTTATGTAATATATTATTTTTTTATTATTAACTTATTCAGCAATGGCAAAAGGAAATATTGTCCATTAATAGGCTGAATCAAACGGAGCCTGCAATATTTTGAATTTCGCCTTTTTGAATGTTCTCCAAAGAACTGAATTATTCATTTGAAAAAAGATAATGACCAGAAGTAGATCTAGTCTTACTGACGTCGGGCATCGTGAAATGCACATCAAGTAAAGTAAACATCACGATTATCGCCGTTTTACTTCATTTACAAAATCTAACGACACATTCCAACGTGGCTCCCTAGCTTTGTCATATACAAATGCTCTGCGCTTAGAAGATGAGAACCAGTCGGCTATAGGCGGAGTCATTCGGTTATGTGTTGGTTCCCATAATTCAAAGCGGGCGTATTTGTTTACGGCAAAACTGGGGAGCCACGTTTGAATTTGTCGAAATATTTTGTAAATGGAGTAAAACGGCGATAATCTTGATGTTTATTTCGCCTGTAGCGTTGTTTATATCGAAGTTTAGAATTGACCATCATCGTGGAGAATAATATCTTCTGTGTCGATGGACCAAAGGATTATGTGAAAATATTGGAAATGGAATAAAATACATGGTGATCTTGACGGTAAGTGTGTGGAGTTTTTCCGGCGAACATTTTTATCTTGTGTATAATTTTAGACGTTGAAATATGTTTTTTTCAAAACGGTTTATATTAAGTTTTTTTTATATGTATAAATATGATCAGTACATGTGCTGGGATTAACAAATATACATTTTATTTGGATTTTAAAGGCGTTTTGAGCTCCACGCCTCAAGTGCCTGTGTGGTTTATTTCGCCTGTTGCGTTGTTTATATTGATGTTGAAGTTTAAGATTGACCATCATCATGGAGAACAATATCTTCTGTGTCAATGGACCAAAGTATTATTTGAAAATTTTGGAAATTGAATAATTAAAATACATGGTGAGTTTAATGGTAGGTATGCGGACTTTTTCCGGCGAACATTTTATCTTGAGTATTATTATAGACGTTGAAATATGATTATTTTCTTTTCAAAACGGTTTATATTAAGTTATATATGATCAATACATGTGCTGGAGTTTACAAATATACATTTTATTTGGATTTTAAAGGCATTTTGAGCTCCACGCCCCAAGTGTCTGTGGTTTATTTCGCCTGTTGCGTTGTTTATATTAACGTTGCAGTATAGAATTGACCATCATCACCGAGAATGATAACTTCTGTATCGATGGACCAAAGGATTATGTGAAAATATTGGAAATAGTATAAAATACATGGTAATTTTAACGGTAGGTGTGCGGACTTGTTCCGGCGAACATTTTTATCGTGTGTATTATTAAAGGCGATATACATGATATATATGTGCTGGGATTTACAAATATACTTTTTATTTGGATTTTAAAGGCATTTTGAACTCAATACCCCAAGTGTCTGTGTTCATACTCTCACTATAAAACATTCGACTGAGAATATTGATTAAACAAAATAACAAATGTTAATTACCTGTCACTTGTCTCATAATCTATTTATAAATTGTTTCTCCCAAGTTCATTTAAGATTGCTCAGTACATTTTGTTGTTTTAAACACAAAAATGTACATTCCAGACATCAAGGTGCCATCACGTGTGACCACAAAATTGTCTGAGTGTTTTAAAGATGTTTTAAACTTTCCAAATTCTGTTTCTGGTTTTATATCACAACCCCAGATATTTACTGTCACTGTATGTGGTAGTTTGTTTATAACAGTTTTGAGATCATTCAACACTGAACAAGACATTGTTATTTTCCATAAGACAACGCCTTCAATATTGATCATTTGAGGAAGCAGTGTTAATGATCTTTCACCTAAATTGATTCTATACAACCTAACTTCTTTCATATGATGTAACAATGGCAGTGTTTGTAACATTGTTTCTATGTCACTGGAAGATTTTAGATCACGACACCAAAATCTTTGTAGTTTTCTGGCTGCTGGCAGTTGATTGAGATAAGATGCCACAACACCAGGTTTATATAAATCACCTACATCACATTTCTCTAACAAAGATACATCCATGTTTAATTGTGACACATGTATCTCATGCAATCCTATACATTTTAGTTGTGAATGTTGAGACAGGTCAAGGTTGAATCCCCTACATGAAGTACCATGATCACTACAGTATAAAGTGTACAATCTTATTTCTTTCATTGATTTTTTACTAGTGAGGAAATTTAACAATGTCTCCATTACCTTGTGGGTCATAATGAAACCTTCTATATATAAACATTCCAGGTGTTGTAATTTAACCAGTCCTCTTTTTATCTCTGCAGATAGCCGGCAATCGTCTTCTATAAGTTTATGATTGTCGCATTCATATGCAATCACAGTTAAACATTTTAAAGGCTTCAATAACAAGCTCATCATTTCCTCTTCTATAATTTTACCTTCATAGAATAATTTCTCTATATGTGGAAGGTCAGAGAGTGTTAACAAATTGATAATTTCTTGTAGACTACAAATACTTCTATTTTCTATCATAATTGATTTTAAATTTTCTTTATTATGTTGACAGAAATGTTGTAATTGTTTGAAGTAGTTTTCTTGTTGACATTTTTCATTAATGATTAAGTCTTGTAAACATAATTTAAGGTCTTTGTTTTCCTTTCTTTCATTGGCACAAGAAATATACATGTCTTGTATGTCTTGTAATGGATTAATGTACATGTGATCATAATCCGTCAAAGTTCTGTATTTGCTTGTTTTTTCATCATTGTTTATCACAGGCATCAATTCACTTGATATTGTTGACATTAATTTAGGATTCATGTTACTAATAAATACAAATACTTTTGACATGTCTAGAATATTTTGTAAACACTTAACCTTTTCAAGGATGATTTTCCGAACTTTACTTTTATTTTGAAAACTTATAAATATTGCTGAAAAATATTCCTGCACTGATTTATGTGAAAAAGAGATTTTATAACCTTCATTTAATAATGATGTTACTTTACTTTCTGATAATATTCCTGATAGACAGCTTGATTTCAAATCTTCTTGGTTAAGATATTTTTCTGCAACATTTTTATCAAAAACTAATGTGTGCTCCTTTTTCTTACTGAACAATGTATAAAAAGCTAGTTTCCCAATGGAAAGCAGAAACGTGTAGTAGCTACAGAAATGTTTATGTGTTCTGAAACATTCAGGGACATCACCAGGGGATGTTTCACATGATGAATGAAATTTTCCATGTAATTTTTCTGTTCTAAATAAGAGGAGCTGAATAATGCTTGTATATAAATCTAGTGCTGAATTTCCTATTGGAATTTGTTCAACCCATAAACATATAAGATAGAGTAAAAGAAGAGGGGTGGATTCCATATCTTCTAGGTCATGGTTTCTAATTTCCTCTTCAAATCTACACACTTCATTGATCAGATTTTCATCTTCATTGCTGCGTTTCAATATTTTCATTGCGTTTAGATTAAACTCCCTTCTTTTGTGTTTATTTAGTTTAACTAGCTCTACTGTTTTGTGACTTATCTCTAAGTTAGAGACTCCAAGCTTCCATGGCCTGGTCGTTGTTAAGATTACACATTTTTCACGTGCATATCGATGAGGAACACTTTTAGGAAGTTTTAAACAATCGTTATCAGGATGAGTCCATTCATCAAGTCCATCTAATATAACAAGGCATTGTTCATTTCGTAAAATGTCCTTTAATAGACCCTTCAAAAACTCTTTCGGCATTGAAGATGAGCATTGAAGATATTGTATGACCTGTTGTTCAATCATGTCGTCGACATCGCAGACTTTAGCTGTATCTCTCAATAGCACTAGAAATAAATACTCGAAGCCAGATAAAGCCTCTAATTCTTCATCTTTAAAATGGTTATAATTTTCATCATTTTTATGAGCTTGACACCATGTTATCGCGAGATATTTTGAAAATGCTGTTTTCCCAAATCCAGCAACTGCTGATAAATATATTTCCAGTGGAACATTCCTATCCAATGTAAGCAGATCCCCTAACGACTTGACCCTAGTTGTTTCTTTCCTTCCATCTGAAAGATTCGTCTGTATGTCAACTTCTGGCATAATGTAGAACCCGGCAAGACGGGTAGGGAAAGCATTTGTGAGTGGTGAAAGATGAACTGTACTATGCTTGGTGTTGTACCATGTTATTAGTTCATCCTTCAGTTCTGAGATAGAAATGATTGACATTTTATTATAATTCATTCATGTGTTGAAATAAAAACAAACTTTGATATGATTTCATTAGTTCTAATGGTGTCTGTGTGTGCATATATATTTTAATACAAGTATATTAAAAGCACAATTAGCCTCACTAATAAAAAGGAAAGCGAAACAAATCGTTTACAAACAAAATATAAAAAATGTTTGTTCTTTAACTATCATTAACATTACTTTACGATGAAATAAATTGGACATACAAAAAAATTGAAATTGATACAAATTCTATTCGTCAGCCTTTTTCAACTCAAATAGCAGACGGACACAACTTTTAAATAATTTTTACGAAATATATAACTAAATTCACACAAAAGGTCTTAAGAATACTTCACTGAGCATCTCACTTGATATTATTTCTACTATATACAGTCTTTTAAAAAATCAACTTTGGTAGCCACGTCATTACTAAATTTGAAATGCACCTAAGAAACTTTGCACTGGCTTAACTGTAATTAACATTAAACTATTAACAGTACAGCTGACGGATGTCGATGTTTATGGAGCACCGTAACTGCATTATATTATTAGTTATAAAGATTTTTGACAGGTTATATGGCCCTATATAACGGTTGTTTGTAAATATAATCCGAACCTCCAGGCTCCGGTTATATTGCAAACAACTGTTTTATATACGGTGACAAACCTGTCAGAAATATTTCTAATGAATTCATAATACAGCAAGCCTCATTTTTAGAGGAATGTAGAGACGAAACAAAAAGCGACATCACCATCTAGAAATCAAAACAACATGATTATCTAGATATAAAAACAACATCACCATGTATGAAAACGACATCACCATTAATAAAAACGACATCACTGTGTAGATATTAAAACGACTTTGCCACATTTTAAACCACGGTACCGTATATAAACTGACAGCAGCATATGCTAAAATCGCATCACCATCTCTCAAACGGACATCACAATATATGAAAACGGTAGAATCATCTATCCAAGTGACAGCACCATTTATCAAAATTACATCACCACCTACCAAAACGACATCACCATAAACCAAATCCACATCACCATCTATCAAAACCAGAGCACAATCTATCAAAACCTCACCACCATCTATCAAAACCACATCATCATATATATGAAAACGACATCACCATGTATCAAAACCATCATATTATCTATCAAAACCATAGCACCAACTACAAAAACGGCATGTCCAGTTATGAAATTACCACACCATTTTTTTTTTGTTCTAACTAACCCATTATACTCGTACCAGCATTTGAAAACTGTATTGATATATAACAGTGCAGTATTTTCATTGCTTCATACAGGACAAAAACTCAACTAATATACAACAGTTGAGTTTTTTCGCATTCATCTCTAACATTGGCTAACAATATTATAAACAACTGTTAGGTATGGTAGCTGAATGGTACATTGCGCGTTGATAGCGACAACGCAACATATATCGTTATCGCCTTTTCGTCTTGTCGCTAGCGACAACAATCCTCCTTTAAGGCTGAAGAACCTTTCAAAACACCACCATCAAGTTGTAGTTATGCTCCAGAAACCACAATTTTCAGTGTAAAGATCATTGTGACCCTAAACATTGACCTTATGACCCTAAAATCAAAAGGGGTCATGTATTGGACATGACTGTTCATCCTGTAGGTTGATTAATACTTTAGTTATTAAGCACAAACTGTTTTTCAGTTTTAAGGTAATATGGACAATCATCCTATGAAGTTTGAATACTGTGGGCAAAATGTAACTTAAGTTATGCTCCGGAAACCATTTTCAGTTATAAGGTAATAGTGATCTTGACCTTTGACCTTATGACCCCAAAATCAATAGGGGTCTTCTACCCAATATGGACAATCATCCTACGTTATGCCCCGGAAACCAAATTGCTAACGTACCAACGGACGGACGGACAGACGCCAGGGGGTATAACATGCCTGAAATTCTTTCGGGCATATAACAAGAGCCGGTTGAACCGGGTGATGCTCCCCGATTAGGTTTTGGACACAAGGTATACCTCTAGTAGTCACAGACAAAGTTAAAAGTGTAAAAACAATCGAAATGTTGCGCGCGACACATTGTCTCAATATGGTGATCATTTCTGTGAAAAAGTTGTAAAATCCGACTTCAAATAACGAAGTTATGGGCTGGATATAATTTTGATGCAAGGTCATGCTGTGACCTTGACCTTCAAGGTAGCGACTCAAATGTTGCGCATGACACGTTGTCTCAATATGGTGATCATTTCTGTAAAATAATTGTAAAATCCGACTACAAATAACGAAGTTATGGGCCGGACACGAATTCGGGACGTACGTACGTTTTTCGGGGAGCATAAAAAGCCAATCCTTTCATTTGAACCGAGCGACAAAATGACATCGCAACAACACACCGCACGACAACGCACCATTTGGCGTAAATCGTTAGCGACAGGACGACAAGATGAACATTTTATACGCCAACACAACGCAAAAAAGCGTTCCAAAATCAGCCACAATAGTACGGTAGCTTTCGGTAGCATTTAATCTGGGAGTTAACATGTGAAACGACACAAGAGAGAAGTGCACATGTTTTTTTGTTTTTGTTTTTGCTGAGTTCTATTACAATAAGATGAAATTGCAATAAAATAGTTATAATATATGAAACTCGTTAGTCACGGCTGTGGCGTCATCTCGATATGTTTCTGCAAATAATTGTCTCGGCCTATTGGCGTCGCCATTTTTTATGCAGAAGCCCAAGCTAGTGTTATATCCTCGTAGCTAACTCGTTTCTTATTATAATTATTACTTGTCAAATTGATGCAGAAAGAAAAGAGTCATTATGGAGCGCTGTACTCAGTTACTCCGGTAATTCAAGGTGCCCACTTCTAAAAAGAGACACTCGAGGTCTGTCTTCACCAGTAGAGCTGGAAACCCTGTATATGAAATTCAAAAGTTCGATGTGAGTTAAAAAAATACAACCAAAGGAGAAAAAACTGCTGCGGATATATAAATAGTATGGTAAAGGACTCGTGAGAATCGATTACAACGAGTAATGTGGTATATTGTCCCCATGTTTGAGTATTTCTATGAAACTTTACGTTCATTTTTTATTAGTCAAAGGGCTATTATAGAATAGCAAAAACAAGCGGAATGGATACTTTTTTTTATGATAAAAATGAAAAAATGAATAATAGATTTTTAATAACAAACGTATATTCAAATGTCCCCACTATCACATGATATTATCTTCAAAAAACCTTTTCAATTTATATAATATCATGAAAATTTTCCCCTTTGGTTTGAATGTGATTAATTAAATTCTCAAACATTTTTTTAAAAGGGGAGCATTGATTTCACTTAAAAGTGCAAAACATATTAAAAACAAAACGACAAACTAAAAAAATCTAGCTTAATATGTTGAACAATTAAAAAAAAAAAAAAACAGACCAGGGAGAATACAAAAGTATATTCTAAATATTTGGTGAGTAAATAGTAACAGTGAGGTATTATGTGCATTTAAAAAGTGTAGTTTAATATATTTATGTATTTAACGTGATAAAATATGTATTATTTTGTAATTTTGGTGATGGAAATTATGTTTTTATAAGTTGCAGGCCTGCTTAGGACTGACATGGCTGCACAAAGAACCTTATAATACATCCTTGGACCTTCTGATTGATAGATTATTAAATTTTTCCCCCCCCCCCCCCCAAAAAAAAAGTATATATTTATTTTAAAAAATGGTAAGTTAGGGATACAAATTATGTATAATTGTTCACGTGCCTGATAAATTTAATTAGCAGCCTAAACATCAGCCAAAGTATTGTAAATAAACATCAGCCAAAGTATTGTAAACAACTTCAAAAGCCTGGAGGCGTTCCAGCAGGGTCAATTGAGCTACATTAAGACATTAAGTAAGTTTGATTGTTATTCCCTTTTTTCGTTTTTTACAAAATTAACCCCGTTTTCAGAAATTTTCTGAAAAAAAAACTTCTGATTTTAACATGTCAAAAGCCCCTTTAAAAATTTTTCAATTTAAATTTAAAAAGGATGATTTTAAGATTTTTTGTTCAGTGTAAACATTACTTATGCTTTGGGTTTGATGGCATTTTTGCACTAAAAAATGGTGGTTTTTTGGGGTTTTTTAAGGTTATTCAATTTTTTTTGACTCAAAACCCTTAAATTTTTGCAACAGAAAAACTTTGGTTTTTCAAATTTCAGACATGTCATTACTTTGTGAATTTATTATTGGGTTTTTCCTTTTTCACAAAATATTTAACTAAATAAAAAAAAAAGGGAAAAATTATTTGTGTTGGGGATATTAAATTAATAAGACAATTTAAAGGCTGATATTGTACAGTACCTGTGACTGTTTACATCATTTGGCAGCGTCTTTCATGTGCAGTATTAACATTTAACTTGTTATTAAGTGAGCTCTTATCAATTTAGAACCTATGACCAATTTAAATGACAAATATTGGCGCGCAAGATTTATTTTCTAAAGGTTAAATCTCGCTACTTCTTCTATTTACTACATTATGACAAAGATATACTTCTAAATCAGTATTAAGAAAGCACTCAAATGATAAATATTTTTGCACCACATTATACTCATGTTTAAAGCCAATAAAAGTTTAAATAAAGCATTTTTATGCTCTAATGGAGATGAGAACTAATATGATTTGTTTTGAGTACTGTGTTATCTAGAACATACAGATAAATACTAGGTAATAATCAAGATATTCATTATTTCTTACCATTGCATGTAAACATAACTTTGAAATATATTCATGTATGCATTGATTACACGTGACCATAACAATGATATATTTGTCACTAATCCTTTCATTCTTTAATTCCAATGGCTTTGTACATGTAGGAAAATTTTTGTCATTATTATTCCCAAAAAAACATAAAAAAAATCTTTAGTCAAAAATATTGTTTTAAAATCTACCAGTTACTTTGCCTCTAAATGCAGAAAAAGTTTTGGCATTAACACTTTTATAATTTTTTGGGATTTCATAGCCTTTATTTTTTTTGTTTTACCGTATTATAAATAGATTGTGTACGTTTATTTAAATGATCAAAATGTTTTAAAATTTTTTAATGCCCGTGATCTTTTGTTAATATTGTGACATCTTTTTTTTTCAGTTTTAATTTTTTCCCTTTAAAATTTTTTGTTAAATAATTTTAAAACAATGTGAAAATATCATTAATTTTGCCACCCGGGAAAAATTTATCCGTCACAATTCCAGATGATTAACACTTTTTTCCACACAGAGTGTCAACAATAATTATCTTTGAAAAGGCAAGCAAAGTTGTTTCTTAATAAAAACAAAACAAAATAAAAAATTTATGATCTGCGATATAGCCATATATGTTATTCAGACTTTTCTGATATCGAGTATAAACAAAAGACAGAATGACATTAAAGTGTATCAAGATCAAATGTTTAGATTTAGTTTGAATTCCACAAAAAAATATTACATTGATTTCTTGCAAATGTAAAATGTTTAAATGCTGAAAGACAAAATATAAAACTTTATGACTTTTGGAAGCACGATATATCTCTCCCATATGAAAAAAGCTTCAAATTTATTCATATATTTTTACAAGAGGAGCTAACAAAAGAATTATGTATTCTCAGTTTTTGTAATTTCTGAAAGAAATGTCTTTGTTTAAGTTATAATATTAACTTTCTGGTTCGCCTTTGATGTTTTGTGATTTTGTGAGACAAGTTACTACTTCGATAGTTGCGTTTGCATTTAAAAAAAACCAGCCGTAAGGTTATTAAAGTTTTTTTCAGAAGATTTTGCACAGATAATACTGTATGATATCGACATATACACATTCAACCTTTTATGTAAATCAAAACTCATTTAATGGTAGTTCATTCAAAATTATAAAGCGTAAGATTGTACTGATTTTGTTAAAGATTATTTCGTTTTACAACCGTAGGTGTAAACATTACCAGTTTATATTTTACATTAATAAGACAATATAGAAATGAATTTTAAACAATTTTATTACTTTTTTACAAATGATATAACTGCCATATTGATCTCAGAGGGACAATGTTTACGTGTATACTTACAGCTTTATGACAGATATATAATATTGCTAGTAAAAGACATTAAAAAGTAAATATTTACTGGTTTTCTAAAGTGCCTTAAAATACAGTTTAATTGATAGAAAGACCAGGAAATGTGGACGCAGTCTTAAATAAAATAAAAAACGCCCTAAGTGTGGCCCTGGTTTTATTGTCAAGGACATATTTAAACGGTTTCTCTATGAAAGTCCCCTGGAGGGTCACATAAGACAGTTTTGAATATATATTGTGAAAACCTATAACCCCGAGGCGGGGCCAATCAACACCCAAAGGCTATATTTTAAACAGTCATGGTAGAGGTTTACTAGACAATGTTCATGCTAAATTTCTAAACCCAAGTCCTCGTAGTTTTGGACAAGAAATTTTTACTTTTTGATGATAGGGGAAATCTTGGTAGATGTCGCATAGACAATGTTTCATGCCAAATATGTAAGCTCTCGCCCTTGAAGTTTTGAAGAAGAAGAAGAAGACTAAAGGAAATTCTTTATACACAATTACTCGGAAAACACATAACCCCCAGAAAGAAGCCACTTTTCAACGTAGGGCATTAATTTGGTAGACGTCTACAAGGAAATGCCATGGAATCAGATTCCTTGAACAACTTTGGAAGCCCTTCACCAAAGAATCCTGGCAAATTGAGTTGAAATTGGGAGGGTCCTAAGATGTGATTTTAAGAAAAAGATCACTATAATACGTCTAGAAAATATGTTTCCATTGCAAAGTGCCAAATTTTGTTTCCTATCACACTATTACGTTTTCACAATGAAATGTTTCAGCAGAGAAAACACGACGAGAGAAACACGGGACACTACGAACATCAATCAGTTATTGGATAATTAAAAGCCCTAGGAAATCATCAGTATTAATTATCATCACCAATGCATAGTAATAATAATAATAATAATAATGATAATAATATTTATCATCATCATCATCTACAACAACAACAAAATAACGCGGCCTATGATCCGGAACGAACGGAATCCGGGATTGTATCAAACATACGGAGAAACGAATAAACTGCTTTGTTTTTAGCACACCTGTCTCAAAGTGACAAGGTGAGCTTTTGAGGTCGCTTTTCGTCCAGCGTCCGTCTGTCGTCCGTCTTTGGTGATCACCTTTGAAAAAATTTCAAAGAATTAAATTCCATGCAGAACTCTTGTTGCCATGTCGACCGAAAGAAAAAACTTACACAAATCTCCTTTAATAAAACCCCAAAGAGCTAGAGCTTAGATATTTGACATGAAATATCTTCTAGTTTGCTAAGTTTGTTCAAATAAAAGCCCTGAGGTCAAAATTGGCCCTGCTCCGGGGGGTTATTGATTTTCCTTATATGTATATAGTAAAAACTTAAACACTCTTCTTTTAAAAACCCCAAGAGCTAGAGTTTATATATTAATCATGCAACATCTTCTAGTCAGTGTCTACCAAGTTTGTTAAAATAAAAGCCTTAGGGTCAAAATTGGCTCACCCCTATACGTGACTATATAAATTCCTGAAGCGGGACTAAATTTTCACCCCATAGGCATGATTTATATAACAATTGTTGGGTAATGCTAATTCCTATATCTAAGATCTGGTCTTTGTTGTTTCTAATTAGGCGATTTTTTTAAAGATATTAATTTCAAAGTCACTGCTGTAACCTTCTTATGCACCAGACGCAGCTGTTTATATAACTTTTATAGAGAATTAGTTAAGACATATTCCTGTATAGTATGGTCAAAACCCATTAAATCGTTTTGGTAAAGAAATTGACAACGATCGAGGGATAGACTGCCATAACAAAACTCACCTAGCTAATTTCATTCCGAACCCCAAATGTTGCCCAGCCAAATCCAAAATGTCCTAAAAAAGCAGTTGAAATAAGAATTGATGTACCACAAAAAAATTACACGTAATTTAGACCTATTAAATTTGAAAAAAATTGTCATTTTGATTTAAAAATATAATATCACTTACTTTGTTTAGAATCGCGTTAAGTTACTTTCTCCATTATATTGTTCACTTATTTACTAGAGTGCCATTTTCTAGCTGTTTAATATTAAAATGTCATAAAAATGTACAATTTAAAAAATCAATTATACCTCAGAATTCCGCAATGAAATCAGGTTAAATTACCCCAAAGGTTACATTTCAAATCATGTTACATAATTAGTAATCAACAGTGATTTGCAATGTTGTTCATCACTGATTAAAATTAATTTCATTTTGGGGGCCAGGGACAAATTGTTAAAAAATTATGCCCTTTGAAATTAAAAATATTGAATTTCAATAAATTGTATGCTGATCCCAAAATTATTTGAAAAGTGTGTTAAGCCTGTAGAAAACAAAACTTTAAAAAACAATAACAAATTGTACTTCCAAAAAATACAATTCATGGAAAAACCATCTTTGATATATCTCCTTTCGAGCTTATTGCAAAGCGGTCTCAAAAGTTAAAGATCTTACATAAAACAACAGCATATTTACTTTGTTCCGGTGTCGTGTATTAATCACGCGGTGTTTTACCAGGTTTTCATTTTTATAGATCTTCTTTTTCAAAAACTTGCCTGAGACTAATTTTGTCCAGGAAACATTTTATTATGTTTTCATATGAAACTAATGGTCCGGTTAATAAACATACACATTTTATGTTAAAACAGTTCTAAGATCGACCATAAATTAAAGGAAACATGACCATTCCATCAATATTGCTCAAAAATTCAATAAAAGTATTTGATTTGATGTATATACCCTTTATAAGTAACACTCATTCAGAATACACTGTGTTCTACTCATCGATGAATTATTAATGTAAAATTGTAAATTACCTCTGTAAGTTTATTTTTAGCATCCTGTGCATGCGTGTCTTTAGCTAAATACCCGGGATCAGAAAGAAGTTGTCTTAATAGATGGAAGTATTTCTTAAGATCTGAATCTTCTACTTCAGGTTTTGAAGAATGTCGCACATTTCTTCCAATGTCTCTTGCCTGGTCAAAATTTAATAACAGTATTTATTTAAAGCTAATTATAAAATATATATTTAACTGAAAACTGTAATGATCCATCATTTTATTGTTAACTATATAAAAGGATATAATTTGCCTTAATATTTTGGAAAAGCTTTGTTAAAAAATATTTATGTTGGAAGTGTGTTGCTATCAATCTGTGTAAAACAAATGACCTGACTAGAGCAGGTTTACTTTTGATTGGACATTTTTTGTACTTTTGTGAATAAATACATGCAAATGTTACATGCACAAAAATGTTAGGTGTATACGTTTGAAAATTGCATTTTGTTATAACAAGATTTTTTAAGTTTTTTTTTTTTTTTTTTGTTTTTTTTTTGGTCAAAAAATGACAGAACATTGTGTATATATTAAACAATATAAAAATATCAAAATCAGGTCAGATCACAATTCAATTCAAAATCAGTAATTACACACCTGATCCAAATTTCAAATTTGTTTGTCAAAAAAAAAAAAAAAAAAAAAAAAACAAGACAATAGATGCAATTGTATCAAAAATAGGTCAGCTGGTATCAATTTTAAATTCGGTATCAGAAATTACTCCCCTGGTTCAAATTCAAAATCTGTACGTAAAAAAAGTAGGTCAAATGATATCAAATTATTTAAAGAAAGTCAGTTGATTTCAAAGTTCAATTTGTTAAGCCTGTACGTCAAAAATGAGAAATAAAAAGAAATAATGTCAAATTATTTAAACAAGATATGCTTGTAAAACAAGTATGCCCCCTATCGGCAGCCAATTCGTCAAGTAATCAGGTTATTATAACTGACTCTTGAGATGGTGACCAAAAAATCAATAGAGGTTAATTACTGGTTATCACTAGTCACTAGGTAATTGGGAACGCAAAGGTTGTGTGCAGTAATTTTATGACAAAGTTATTTCAAATCTTTCCATATTAATATATGCATAAATTTTATGAATCATGTAGGCCTCATTACTGACTGCCAAATTGCTATATTATATAAGTTAGAATGTGTATACCAAAAGGATTTTTAGTTTAATAAAAAATATCAACCAAGGCAATTTGATTTGTTGTGTTATTGGTCAGAAACTATCTTTACATACAAGGTCAATATGACATAGACCTTTGACCTTTAAATCAATAGGGATTGTCTACTGGCCCATGAGTTGGAATAATGATCAGAAAGCGTTATTACCTATAAGATCAAGATGATATTGACCTCTGACCCCTTAACGCCAAAAATCCATGGAGGCGGGGCCAAATTTGACCCCCAGGACTATAATTTGAAAAAAAAATGGTTGAATAGTATTACACATTGCTTCAAGCCAAAAACTAACCTCTTGCCTTTGTCAATTTAGAGAAGTGTTTTAAAAGCCTTTACTATATACATATAAGGAACATCAATTACCACTTTGGGCGAGGCCAATTTTGAACCCGTGGGTATAATTTGAACAAGTTTTTGTAGAGTTTTATTAGATTATGCTACACATGAAATATCTAAGCTCTAAGCCTTGCGCTTTCAGAGAAGATTATTTTTTAATATTTTATCTTAAAAATATATTTTAGCCCTTTTCACACACATGTTCAAAAGAGAAAAACCATTTAACAATTTTAGAAGAATTTGATGCTAGGAACATCAAAAAAGGAAAATTCATCAAATATGGCCCAGTGGTTTATGAGAAGTAGTCGTTTGTGAAAACGTTGACGACGGACGCACGGAAGCACTGACGAACGATGGAGGCCGACAAAATATAATCACAAAAGCTCACCTAAAATGCAAGAGACATTATGCGATGGGTTATAATTTATTCAAACATAATTAAATAACAAAACCCTAACGATATGCACAATGGCTCATTCTTTCTAACCGCTTACCAACCCTCTGACCGACATTCCCCAAATGTAATTACTTTCTTTATTTTCAGGAAGCATTATAATAACATATTTTATAGTTATATTTGCTTTAGATCATTGAAATATATAAATGTTGTGTTTGGTAACTAAGGACCTAACGTAAGTCTCGATAAATAGTATCTAAATATTGTTTACCCTTTCAAAGATATTTGTCTTATTGTTGAGGTCTTCTTTTATTTTTCCCTGGAAGGCTTTGTGATTAAGAATAATACTGATTATACCATTGAAGTCTGTTTCTGCTGCAGATGCTTTATCTGCATACCCATCTGGAGGCATGAAGCATTTCGCCACTTCCCAGAAATAACCACACCACTGGGTAGCATCAGTGTTTTTGTACGATGGATCAGAGTACCTATGTACATTCTGTATCTCAGTTTTGAAATTATGACATATCTTGTTAGGGCAGCCGGCAGGATTAAACCTTGTTGCAGCATTTCGATGATACCTGCATTTTACACGTCCAACACTGCATATTTTATTTGTTGGACATTTTACAAGATTTTCTGTACAGCAACTTGAACACAAAGTCCCACTTAATAGTCCATTGCTGTAACATATATCATCTAAGCATTTCAATTGAAATTGCTGAATTTCGTTACACACAAATGGTTCAAGTCCTTCTTTAGTATACAACACAGCTAACTGAGCTTTTACCCAGTTACTGTTTTCCTTTTCTAACTGTATAGGGTTAAGTGAAGCCATTTCTTGCAAACTTTGTATCTTTCCCACTTAAAGAATTATACAAGTATACATTGGTATGTCTTGTAAGCTCCGATCTAAACCTGAAAAAGTAAAATCCTAAAGTATATTATTACATTTCAAAAAGAAAGTTTTAAATCATATTAAGACGTAATGCAATAGAATTAAATTGAGAAATGTAAACAACCAAAGGGCTCATTTTTTTTGTGAATTTATCATGTACGAAATTGTAACATTGGTAAAGTTAGTAAATGTATGGTATATCTTTGCCTTAATGAGTCTTTCGAGTTTTTTCGTGCGTAAATCCTTATACGAGCCTTTTTATTGTTGGAATGTAATTGAAACCTTGTCAGCTTCTGACAGATCTTTATTTCAATTTGAATAGACACATGATAGCACATATACACTTACTAAGTAAATACAATCCAACTACTGAAATATGGATTTTACACTTGAATGCTTTTGAATAATATTTTACATGACATAACATTTCATTTTAGATAGAAAAAAACTTAAATTTAACTAGTATCTTACCAATTTTATGCATACGTTGAATCCAAAAAAAAATGGTATTGATAATTTAGAGCAACTGCGACAGATATCGGCATCTTAACGGTATTACAAATTACTATATATTTGAATCTGGATATTTTCTTCTTTATAAAAAAAATGTTCATGAATATCTATTTTCAGACAATTGAAGATTGCAATTGAAGTGTACAAAAGAAATTGCGAGGTTGTATTTTTCTTAAGTCACAACATTGCGAAATTAACATGCAGTTTTTAAGACTTTGTTTTGATTAAGCATCTACTTGATATTGAAGGAGCGGTATTTATATGACCAAATCTAATCTTATAACAAGTTAACTTTATTTATCTAAAAAAGACTGACTATAATAATGGAGTTTGACCAACGGTTGATACTTGAAAATGTTTAGGATAAAATATGAATATGCCTGAAGTATAAAAAAAATCTGCCCCAACTCGTCACGTTAAAATATATGCACGTGCAATACAATTAAAACGGAGTCGCAAAAGCGGCACGGGTATGTAATGTGATCCTTTAACTATAAGTCACATGCATTTTGTATTGAAAATTGTACATACTGTTATGGAAAATGTTGTTTCAATGCAATAAAATTTGTGTAGTTATATTTGTATTTATCATCGACATATTGTTTGTTTCATATTTTCTTGTATGTCTTGCATCCTCTCCAAGTCCTCAATAGTTCACATGCAAATGCTTCATTCCATCAGCAGTTCGTGTTGTTGTATTTTTTTTTTTCGAGGAATCATATGTTATAACCTTATCTACAATCTTTACAAGATTATTAGAATAACATATTGGTTATCATTGTCATTTTTGTGTCGCCCCTACGGAGTACTGGCGACATACAGGGATCACTTCACCGTCGTCCGTCCGTCCGTCTGCCTGTCTGTCCTTATGTCCGTCCGTCACAAAATTGTCTGGACTGCTCCTCATAAACTACTGGTGCAATTTCATCCAAACTTAACAGGAATGATCAGTACCACGTTAAGTTGTGCATATCGTCAGCATTTTTTGGTTCAATGATTTTTGTTTGAGTTATGGCCCTTTATAATTTTTATTTTTAAAGTTTGTTCGGACTATTCCTCTTATACCACAAAATGCATTTTCAATGACACTTTACAGAATTATTTGTAGTTCAAGTCTATGGGCATATTGCACGGGTTTTCCGGTTGACTGAGTTTTTGCTGAGTTATGGCCATTTAATAAAAAATTGTTTTTCTGTGTGTTGCAAGATACACAAAAGCTTGTCCTGACTACTTCTCAAAATCTACTAGTGCAATTTCATTCAAACTTTACAGGAATGATCAGTACCAAGTCTAGTTGTGCATATCACCGGTTTTTAATGCAATTTCAATGAAACTTCACAGGATTGATTGGTTGGTCAAGCACTTGCGCATATAACATGGAGTTTTCGCTTGAATGATTTTTAACCTTGTTATGGCCTTGAAAAAATAAAGTTTGTCCGGACTATTCCTCATATACCATTTATGCGATTTCAATGAAACTTTACAAGGTTAATTGGTAGGTCAAATACTTGCTCATAATACACAAGTTTTTTGCTTGAATGGTTTTTGGCAGAGTTATTGCCCTTGAATAAAAAAGGTGTTTTTGTGTTGCCAGCTACACAGAAGTTTGTCTGGACTACTCCTCAGAAACTGCTGGTGCGATTTCATCAAAATTTTAGGGACCATGTCTGGTTAATCATCTCATCAACAGTTTTTGGTTCATTGATTTTTGTCAGAGTTTTTATCCTTTCCTGATTTTAATTTTGAAATTTGTCCGGGCTACTCCTGTTATACCACTAATGCAATTTCAATGAAACGTTACAGGATTGATCGATAGCTCAAATTCTTGTGCATATTTTACATGTACAGGTTTTTATGTTGAATGATTTTTGCCAAGTTATGCCTATGATGATGTCATCACTGATGGCCCTTGTATTATCAAAACAGAGTTTTTTAATCAACAAAAACAACATACCATCAGACATCATCATTATTATAATGATAAACGATGTCGCTAATTATTGTAATATTTGGAGATAAAAGATCAATACCTCTTAAACAAAGGCTATGATTTTTCAATGTGGCAGACATACGACATT